ACTATACAATAGCCAAAAGATGGAAACAACCTAGGTGTCTATCAACTGAGGAATGGATAACCAACTATGGTACATACACGCAATGGAATACTATGCAATGCTAAAGAATAACGTAGTATCTGCAAAACACTGCATAACGTGGATGAACTTAGAGGACATTATGCTAAGGGAAATAAGTCAATCACAAAAGGACAATTACTGTATTAGTCCATTATTGTAAAAGTTAATGAAAGGTTTATCTATAAAAGGACATTTTCTTTGTTGGTTACCAGGAGTGGGAGGGGAAGGGAGGGAATGCTACTAGATAGATAGAGAAAAGTATTGATTTTGGTGGAGAAAAGGGCAATGTATCAAATTTGAGTGATCAATATGGCAGCATTGAGGATGAGAAAGACATAGAAAAGTGCATGGGAGGTACAGACAAAAAATATGAACCATTTTGCACATAGAGTACTGTGTTGTCAGTGAAGGCAAGCGTGGGTATATGGGTGGATAGATGGGTGGATAGAGTGGTGGACAAGCTGAACTATTAGGTATGTCTATGAAATGGGGAGTGTATTCAAGAACATACATAAGGTTGGCAGACAATGGTCCTATAAGATTATGTGAATGATCAGAATTCCCAGGTGTATAGTAGAGTTGACAAGGGGAAGGTTGTGGTCACTGCTTAGTCACAGCCAGCTACCAAGAGGGACCGAGTAGTTGAACCTGCAGGATTGGGACCATAGTGGCAGGGAACATCAACATTGTTCCAACTCCTACTTTGGAGAGTAGCGACTGGGATCTTAAAAGCTAACAAGCTGCCATCTAGATGCAACGATGGGTCTCTCCTCATCCAGAGCAAAGAAGAATGAAGGAAACCAAAATTCATGGAAACAATCAGTCCTAGTGACTGGTACACCATCCAATCTGCAGCCTATAGGACTATGAGACCAGAAGAACTAGATGGTGCCCGGCTACCACTGACATCCACTTGGAAGGGGATCTATGCAACACATCCTTGATAGAGAGTGAGAACAATGTGGAACAAAACTCAAATCATTTGGAGGAAAAAAAAAAAGGTGGGGACCAGGTTTGCTGGTCCAATAGAGCCTGGTGAAACCACTGAGACTATGGCTCCTAGCTGCCCTTCAGGTCTGGGATTGAACCCACACCTGTGGTTTCCAGCCAAACAAAAGACAGGCATATGAGTTGACCATTTACCTCAAGTAGATACACTCTTTGGAGAGAACAATCATGGGAGAAAGAAGGGCTGCTTATGCACAGGGAGACAGCTCAGGGGGCAAGAGTGTATGGAGCGATGGACACTGAGAAGAGGTAACTATGGGGAGGAAGTGGGAGGAGAGCTATTGCATTGTGGTAAACTGTGGTCAATGTCATGAGACAAAGTATATGCAAACTGCTGTATGGAAAGTGAATTTGCTCTGTAAATCTGCACCCAAATCACAATAAAAAATAAAAATAAATAAATAAAAATTAAAAAAAAAAAGATGGAAGGAATACACAGAAGTACTGTACCAGAAAGAAGTGGCCGATGTTCATGCATTTCAAGAGGTGGCATATGATGAAGAACCAACAGTACTAAAGGAAAAAGTTGAAGTTGCACTGAAGAATTGGTGAAAAATAAGGCTCTGGGAATTGCAGGAATACCAATTGAGATGTTTCAACAAGCGGATGCTGCACTGGAGGCACTTAATTGTCTATGCCAAGAAATTTAGAAGACAGCTATCTGGCCAACTGACTAGAAAAGATCCATTTTTGTACCCATTCCAAAGAAAGGTGATCCCACATAATGTGGAAATTATCAAATAATATCATTACTATCACATGCAAGTAAAATCTTGCTGAAGATAATTCCAAAACAATTACAGCAATATATTGACAGGGAACTTCCAGAATTGCAAGCTGAATTCAGAAGAGGATGTGGAACTAGGGATATCATTGCTGTTGTCAGATATATCTTGGCTAAAAGCAAAGAATACCAGAAAGATGTTTACTTGTGTTTTATTGACCATGCAAAATGATTTAATTGTGTGGATCATAAAAAATTATGGATAACATTGAGAAGAATGGGAATTCCAGAACACTTAATTGTACTTTTGGGTAGCCTGTGCATAGACCAGGAGACTTGTCATTTGAACAGAACAAAGGAATAGTGTACGGTTTACAATCACAAAGGCTGTGTGTCAGGGTTGCGTCATTTCCCCATACTCATTCAAACTGTATGTTGAGCAAATAATCCAAGAAGCTGGACTATACAAAGAAAAATGAGGCATCAGGATTGGAGGAAGACTTATTAACAACCTGAGATATCCAGATGACACAACATTGCTTGCTGAATGCGAAGAAGACTTGAGCACTTATAGATGAAGATTAAAGACTACAGTCTGCGGTGTGGATTACACCTCAATATAAAGAAAACTAAAATCCTCACAACTATACCAATGAGCAGCATCATGATAAATGGAGAAAAGATTGCAGTTGTCAAAGATTTCTTATTACTTTGCTCCACAATCAACACTAATGGAAGTAACAGTCAAGACAACAGATGATGTATTGCATTAGGCAAATCTGCTGCAAAAGATCTCTTTAAAGTGCTGAAGAGCAAAGATTTCTCTAAATACTAAGGTGTGCCCAACCCAAGACATGGTGTTTTCAATCACCTCATATGCATGTTCAATAAATAAGAAGAGTTGATGTTTTTGAGTTGTGCTGTTGGAGAAGAATACTGAAAAATACCATGGACTTCCAGAAGAACAAGCAAACAAATCTTTCCTGGAAGAAGTGCAGCCAGAATGCTCCTTTGAAGTGAGAATGGCCAGACTTCTCACCTACTTTCGTCATGCTGTCAGAAGGGACCATTCCCCGGAGAAAGATATAATGCTCTATAAAGTAGAGGGTCAATAAAAATGGGGAAGGCCTTCAAGAATATGGGTTTACACAGTGGCTGCAACAATGTACTCAGTTATGGCAAGTATTCTGAGGTTGGTGGCAGACTGGCTGACAGTGTTTCCTTCTGTTGTAATAGGGTTACTATGGGTCAGAGCCAACTTGATGGTACCTAGCAACAACAATAACAACGTTGAAAAGTTAATCTTTAAGGAAAATAATTTGATCATGAATTATTTGACAAAAATATTGAAATTTTATGTTCCTTTATGATTATTGTAAGGTAAAGATTATTTATTTTTGATAGGAGGGAGATCAAAGGTTTTTGTGGGACATAAAAGAAGCTGAGGGTTATCAAGTAAATTCATAGTCTTTCTTTATTACTAGACTGATTTATTTCAGATAAATTTGCATCTCTTTTAAGAAAGGCCTGTATTGTAAAATGAGTTTGATTTTAATAAAAAACTAATTATTAAACAATTTGAACTGTGACCCTCTTAAACTAAACTATTTAAATGGCAGCATAGGTGTGGTTTTGATTGTGGGAAAACTTAAAAAAGTAAGAAGATAAGAAACTGAAACTGTACCGCAGAAAAGGCACAGGGTAAATCACATCCTTCTTGCAGAGACTTTGAACTTTTATTCTTGAAGAAAAGTCCAGCAGCTGAAACAATGTCTCAGGAAGCTTTGTAACTTGAGTTTCTTAGATAGTTTCTGTTTTTCTAGAATTCAAGGTCTTTAAAAGAAGAGAAATAACTATCACCCTAAGCTAAATTGGAAAGAGCTATGCTTGGGAGAAGAACTTGTAATATAGTTTAAGTCCTTTCATTTCTTATAACAGCTATAACATTAATAAGCTTAATTTCACTAGAGTCCTGCTAAGAACATAAAATAATGTCATGTAATCACAAATCATTAGAGTTAGAAAGTTACTGAGAGAAATGTATCTCAAATACTAGAATCACCTCAAGTTTATTTCTTTTACTCTCCATCTTGGGGGATTTTTGTCAGTTAGTTTCTCTTCTTGGTGCCTTACCCTCTCTTTTCCCTCATTCTTGTGGTCTGTTGTAGATAATTTAGATAGAATAATTTCCTAGTCTACTCTGTAATTCAAGGGATCAGGATACAAATTTAGTTCACTCCTGACTTTATAATGATGAAGATTCGTTGTAGTGACAAAACTTGCTCGGGCTTCCTGACTATAAATCAGCAGCGTATATGAGATTGGGACACTTACTCCTGACTCCAAAGTCCAGTAACTTAATCTTATGTCTCAGAAATCTTTGCATAGGAAAATTTTGTGTGAGTCACTACACAAATAAAATCAATTTGTAACATCTAAAAGGCATACATGCAACGATAAGAGACCTCTTCGCTTGTACAAGACCGTCTCTTCTAAGGCTGACTTATGCTGCAGAGTACTGTGATCTAACACTGCTAAATCCACGGTAATGGCAATGCTATTGAATTATCGATTTATTTTTTGAATTGAATGATACAATTGAAATACATAACTTTTAATGTTCTGCATTTTATTTAAAATCTAGGCTCTCAGAAATGGATGACAAACTAGATATCTTCAGGAGGGAGTTAGCAGACATTCAGGGTGTTCCCCTATTCTGGAGCATTGCTGAAGAATGGTCCCAGGTGGAGTCATTTGAAGCCCGGCCAGATGACATTCTGATCTCGACCTATCCTAAATCTGGTAGAAACTTTTAATTTATTCATACTCACTAATGAAAAAATGTGTAAACCTATATTTGTAAACCCACAAATCTGTGGATTACTCATCATGTCTGCACTGAATTCATTAAACATTATTAAGGGAAATCTGTGACAGTTAGGCTAGTTTGGTCTTAATAAAAATTCACTTCCTGTTCTGAAAGGTTAGTGTTCAAATGGAAAATATATCTGTGGAAAGTAATACTGTGATCTTTCTTAAAAATTTAAATTTGGTAAAAACTACTGAAACTTCTTTTATATCATATGTACATGTTAGTGCTTAATTATTTTGTTTATAAAATTAAACAACTGCTAACCTGAAATAAGATACCAGGAAGAAAAATTTTGTAAACTCAATAAGAGCCAATGATTTTTATTTCTGTTTATAATAGGCGGATTTGGTTATGAAAAAGTTTTCTTATTCACCCAGTGATAGCTGTACAGATAAATATTATAGAAATGAGGCTCTTTTTAAAATTCAATTAACTTACTTGAGCCCATAATCAACCTAGTTATTAAACCCTCTAAAGTTAAGTTTGCTTTATAGTTCTATATTGTTCCTTAATGGGTTTCAGGAAAGTAATTTTATTCAAATGTATATTGACTACTGATCTTTTTTTAGAGTATGTAAATAAATGAATAATAATAATAATAAAAATGTTTCAAAATAACACGTAACAAACCCTGAGAGTAAAGGTCTCAATTTAGGGGTTTTGGTGTGTCCAAATCACTAACACTAGGTAGAAGCAAAAGGCTTCTAATAGAAAGTGAGCAAATTCACATAACAGACCTTTGTAGATATAAAGAAAGAAACTTGGTTTGACAAAATATTTTTCTTTTCTTACTACTTGACACTGCTTTCTGCATAGCTCACCAAACCCAAAATATTTAGGACTGAAAACCATGTTTCATTTCCTTGATGAAATGCAAGTTTGGAGATGAGAGGGAAATAACTGACAGATTTGCATACTCTATTGTGTCTGCTATCTTGGGGTATATTCAAAAGCAGGCCATGAAGATAATTACCAGAATGTATCTGTGGTAGATAAGGTTATGTGTCAACTTGGCTGGGCATGGTTTTGAGTGACTGGGCAGCTAGATGTAGTTGTTCCCCATGATGAAAGTGGTAATCAATCCTGTGGTGGAATCTGCTGTGAGCAGCTGAGTAGTGCTTTAGAGATGTGTGCTGTTTCCAGTATATAAAAAGATGCTTTGAGAAAGGTCTTGAACTTGTTGGCATCTCTGGATCCTGCATGTAGCTTAGTCTTCATTCAGCAACTTGTCGTGATGCCTACCCATCTTGGAAATGTTTCTGGACTTGGGTTAGTGGCCTACCATGTTGCTTGATAATCTTGGGACAGTGCCATTTTACTTGTTGGCGTTGGGTTTGTCAGCCTCAGCAGCCAGCAGCTGCTTGAATTAGGAGGTGCTTCCAGCTTCAGTGGGCCAGGAGCAAGAGGCAGCGCTGAAGCCAAAAGTCACCCAGCCCCTAGTGCTGGCACATTGAACTCCAACTTCTAGCCTCTTGAACTGTTTGTTAAAGCCATAGATTAGTAGTCTTTTCTATTAGAGCACCACTAGAGAACCAAGACAGGACCATTATGTGAATAGGTCAGCTATGCTCTTCTTGAGCTGAATTGTTTTGTCTGACATAATGAAAGCTAGATTGTTACTCGTAGCATAAGTATGTTCTCTTTTGGTATATTTCTTTTTCATTTTTTTTTTTTTTCTCTTTAAAAACTGTTCAGAATATGTCTTAAAAGTATGAATATATCAATGTCTTGTTAGTTCCGTTAAAAAGTTTATATGAACCAAGCCATGGGTCCTTTTTATTATTATTATTATTATTATTAGTTCTATAAACCACAGAAAACAAACCTTTCAAAAATAAAGCTTACAAGAATAGGTAAATTTGGATTTGTTTCTATCAGATTTCACAGGCCATAGTTTGAACCACTCACTGATAGGAGATATACTGTGCTATAATACACTTTGGAATTTTGACTTCTTTTCCCATTGGTTAAACCTAAGCAATATTAGGCGAAAAGTTCCAAAATGGCATTGACTTTGGCCCATCTTTCTTTTAGCACTGTAATTGTTAGAAGCACGTGATTTAATAGCACTCATAATTTAGGGAGAAGAAGGGGCAGTATTGTCTATAAATATTGTCCAGTGAAAGTAAAGTCTAAGATATCCAAATAACTGAAACTGAAACTAATCTAAAAGTATGTCCATGTATACATCATTCTTCAAAAAGGCTGCTGTATGAAGGACTTACTTATTGTAATACTTTATCAATGTAGTTTTTTAGTTTCCATCCATGATAATCCAATTAATGAACTATCCTTACATCTCTGGGAAAGTAAAAGGGGATGGCAAAAGTTAAAATGTTTTTCTCCTATGTCTTATAACGCTTTTTTTCAAACAGTGCCACAATAACACGATCATTAAGTGCCATACATAATTAAGTATTCTATATCCTAGTATGGGAGCTCTGGTAGCGTAGTGCCTAAGGACTTGACTGCTAACCAGAAGGCTGGTGATTCAAACCCACCAGCCGCTCCTCAGAAGGAAGGTTGGGCAATCTACTTCTGAAGTGATACTGCCTCAGCAACCCAAGGAGGGGTCACTATGAGTCGGGTCTGACTAGATGGCATATAACAACAACAACAACAACACATCCTAGTATGTGCTGGATCCATTTCTCTAAAGACTGCTGAGTCTCAATATGGTGAAAGACAGAATGATTCTTTCCACTCTACTAATTTAGGAATCATTGCTTTTTTTTTTTTTTTTTTACCATTGCCTTTCATTTGTGAGTTGCACATTGATCACTACCAGTGAAATTATAAAATTTCTCATTGTTTTCCCTTTTCTTCCCCATATCAGATGTTATATTTCAATACTTTTCAGCCTAACAGTCCAGTATTATTTTTTATATTAACAAGAAATGTGCACATTAACAATCAGTCATTGTAGTGGTCAGCCATCACTCCCCTCAGTCATTCCACCCAGGGTGATATGCTATTATTACATAAACAGTGTATTTTTAATACCTCTGCTTTATGTCCTTCTTATTTTTATGGTTATATTAATCAGAATTACACACAATGCACATGTGTCTTTGTTCAATGTACAAATGGATGCCTCCTAGGAAATGGGATAAGAAGGGAAATGAAGCAGAAATACAAAGCAATTTTGCTTTAGATATTACAGAACTCTTTCTTTATTGCTACTCTCATACTATTTTTGTCAGGAAAGTTTATAGTTTCTTTTTTTTTTTTTTTTTCAGGAACAACCTGGGTCAGTGAAATATTGGATTTGATCTATAACAATGGGGATGTAGAGAAGTGTAAACGGGATGCAATATATAATCGAGTGCCATTCATGGAATTGATAATCCCTGGAATCACAAATGGTATTTTCACTAAATTGCTCCTTTTCACCATAGAGGTTAATCTTTTTGTGATCTCTGAAGAATTCTTAATGGAAAACCATGTAGACAGAGTTAGGGCAGTTGATTTATAAGAGTGGAGAAGCAGTGGTTAAGCATTGGAATGGTAACCAAAAGGTCAGCAGGTTGAACCCACTAGCCACTCCATGGGAGAAAGATGTGGCAGTCTGTTCTTGTAAAAATTTGTAGCCTTGGAAACAATATAAGGCAGTTCCACTCTGGCCTATAGGGTCACTGTGAGTTAGAAGAAACTTTAGGGCAATGGGTTGAGCTGGGTTTGCTATATTAGAATGGTCAGAAATTGACTATGCAAATAACTATTTTATACAGTTCATCAACACAAAGATAATATCTGCCTAAGAACAGATTTTGATATAGTATATTTTGTCGTATTAAGGTATATGGAAGTCTTCAACATTTAAATATTGTGTGTTCATTATGTAGACAAAATACAATGTTTGCCTTAATATAGATTTATGTGTACTGCTATTTAGCTGATATTTTTACAAACTCCAGGAGATAGACTATAGAACTACATGGTTTTGCATTATTAAAACTGTTTAAGATAGGCATGAGAGTATTTAGATTTAATTTGATCTTAGATTTTGAAGATCAGAGAGCTGGAAAGGTATTTTGAAATCCTCTAGTTCAACTTCTTCATATAATTGAGAAAGAGAGAAAGACAAATGAAAGAAAAACCTGGACATCTCCACTCTTGACCCACTGCTCCTTCTGTTCCATTAAAGAGTTATATCTGTAGATTTTATACACACTTATGAGGGCAATGAACCCCTTCTCATGATAGGAATAAAGCAGTATAGATATTCAGAATCTATCATTTTTTGCTCTCATGGTAGATTTAAAGGGTATATGAAGTCTCGCTATTTCAAACTATACAGTGAGATTACAGTTCATAAAAGCTTAGATTATGTTGTAATTGACTTTTATGACTTCACATTTATAACATAGTTTGTTCATTTTTGTGCTTATAGGCATTGAGCAATTGAAAAACATGCAATCTCCTCGTTTAGTCAAAACACACCTCCCTGTACAACTTCTCCCTTCTTCATTGTGGAAGAATGACTGCAAGGTAACAAAATTTAAAGAAATTTTATTTCTTATTTGTGTTGCAATTTCTTTTACTAATTATTCAGAAAGACAGATTTGGTATTGAAACCTATGGAGAAATCATTGTAAAAATAATAATATGGACCTATAGCCTAGGGATTATGGCTGTAGGCAGGGAGTAGATTCAATGCCCAAACACTGAAGAATGGTCAGATTTTTTATTCTCAGGGATGCCTATCATTCTAACAGAATTCCTTCACTCACTGTCAATTGCTTTTAAACAATAATCAACCCCAAAATTTGTTTCCCCCAGTTTATCAGAATTTCAAGTGACAGATATGGTGGATTATAATTTACAGATTAGTTTTAGGCTTCTTTTTATTAATTTTTTATTGAAGTATAACACTCAGGGATAAACATGCCTAAATCATAAGTATATAGTTTAATGAATTTTCATAAAGTGAGCATGCCCATGAAATCAGAACCCAGATTAAGAAAGAGAAAATTATCAACACCCTAAAAACTCAGTCCCTGCCCATTTCTAGGCAGTAACCCCCCTCCATAAAGGTAGTCACTATCCTGAGTGCTTCCATCATAATTGTTTGCCTGTGATGCCCGTAAATATGTTATTATCAGTTTCCATAGAGTTGATTCTGACTCATGAGGACTCCATGTGTGTCAGAGTAGAACTGTGCCCCATAATGTTTTCACTGGGTGACTTTTTGGAAGTAGATCACCAAGCCTTACTTCCCATGTACATCTGGATGGAATCCAATTCCAACCTTTCAGTTAGTGGCTGAGTGTGTTATTTGTAATCTTTCAGGGGCCTTTGTCATTCAATGGTAGAATTCTCACCTCCTGTTTGAGAGACCTGGGCTTAATTTCTGGTCAATGCATCTCAGGTACAGCCACCACTAATCTGTCAGTGGAGGCTTGCATGTTGCTACAGTGCTGAATAAGTTTCAGCAGAGCTTTCAGACCAAGAGAGCCTAGAAAGCAAGCCCTGGCAATCTACTTCTGAAAATCGGCAAGTGGAAATTCCATGAATTACAACATTCTGATCCCCACTTGATCATGGGCATGGCGCACGACCCAGTGGTATTTTGTTCTATTATGCATGGGGTTGTCATGAGTCAGGGGCCAACTCCATGACAACAACAATAGCAAAAGCCTGAAGTCATAAAGGATATACTCTTGAAAGTTTATATTTTTATGTAACATTATACTTGTGATATATATCTGCTCTGATTACCCAGTGCTACTCTGACAAGAATATACCACAAATGAGATGGGTTTAATAAACAGGAGTTTTATTCTCTTACAGTTTGGAGTCTTTAATCTGAGTTCAAAGTGCCAAGCTCTAGGGACTGGGTGAAAAGCCTCTCAGCCTTGGGCTTCAGCTTTGCCTCCTGCTCCCGGCTCACTGAAGCTAGAGGCTTTTCTTTACTCAGATAGCTGCTGGCTGCTGAGGCTGACAAGCCTAAGATTGACAACTAAAAAGGCACAGTCCTGATGTTACCAAACCATATGGAAGGCCATTCATTCAAGTCCATGAAAAGTCCCAAGGTCAGCAGAGCATGGCAGCCTGCTGAGCAGTGACATGGCTACATGCAGTGTTCAAGCATGCCGTAAGTTAGAGACCATTTTCCAAGTCTTTTCCTTAATACAGGAAGCAGACCACATCTCTAACGCAGCTACTCAGCCGCTCACAGTAGACTCCACCATAGAGCTGATTACCAGCCTCATCATGGGGCATACTACATCCAGCTGCCCAGCCACTCAACCAGGCCCAGCCAACTTGACACACAAACTGAACTACCATGATATCCATATTGTTGTTTTCTTTAATGTAACACAGTGGACTTGGCTGTATCAACTATTTTACTTGCATTGTAGATGCAAACATAAATAATGACATTCTCTGCATGTAACCACATTATGGCCCTTATTTAATTTTTGTGAATACTACTGTGCTTCTTCTGCATGCTAGTTGCCAATGAGGGACACCATTATCATTACTATTGGAAAATATTTTCAAAATTACTACCTTCATGCACACTCAAAGATTTCATGCATAAAACAAAATTTAATCTCACATCAATCATTATAATCTGCAATGTTTATTATGTAGCCATGTTATTGGGCAGAATGAAGGATGTTGAAACCTTATTGCTAAATTTACTCAAAAAGTAAGGTTTGGCAACCTACTTCCATAGTTATAGCACCTTGGAAACCCAAAGAGCGGTCGCTATGAGTTCAATCCAACTCGACGGCAGTGCATTGCATTGTTGCGTAATAATTTATTTGAGGTGAAAATCAGGCATTTCTTTGTTAGTCTTAATGACAACTTATGGAAAGCAAAACATTCTAAATTTGAAGATGTGGTTGCAGATGTTAGGGGCCGTCAAGTTGGCTCTGACTCACAGTGACACTATGTTCAACAGAACAGAACATTGCCCAGTCCTGCACCAGCCTCAAAATCCTTGCTATAACCAAGCTTGTTGTTGCAGCCACTATGTCAATCCATCTCCTTGAGGGCCTTTTCCTTTTTCATTGACTTTCCAATATACTAAACATGATGTCCTTCTCCAGGGAATGGTCCTTTCTGACAACATGACCAAAGTAAGTGAGAAGAAGTCTGACCATTCTTGCTTCCAAGGAGCATTATGGCTACACTTCCTCCAGGACAGATTTGTTAGTTCCTTTGGTAGTCCATTGTACTTTCAGCATTCTTCTCCAACACCACAAATCAAAAACATGACCTCTCTGTCTTCCTTATTCATTATACAGCTCTCATATGCACATGAGGTGAATGAAAACAGCATGGCCTGAGATGGGTGCACCTTAGTCTTCAAGGAGACATCTTTGTTCTTCAGTACTTTTAAGAGGTCTTTTCCAGCAGATTTGCCCAATGCAATACATCGTCTGATTTCTTGACTGCTGCTTCCATTGGTGTAGATTATGAAACCAAGCAATATGAAAACTTTGATAACGTCAATTTTTTCTCCATTTGTCGTGATGGCAGTTATTGGTCCAGTTGTGAGGACTTTCTTTTTTTTTTTTTTTAATTGTGATTTGGATGAAGATTTACAGAGCAAATTCACTTTCCATACAGCAGTTCACATGTACTTTGTCTCATGTCATTGACCACAGTTTACCACAATGCAA